CCGGAAAAAGGGAGGAGGGGGGCCGAAGGGTGGGGGACGGTTCAGATGATGTTCTTATTTAATTTTTGCAAAAAAAAACTATAAATATATTAGATCTAAATGTACACCAAAGAAGATATTTTTTTAATGAAGCTCGCATTTAGTTTTTATCCGTTAAAACCGCTTCCTCTAAGTTTATCCTACTAGCATGAAAACCATAGAGTCTACTTGTACTTTGTCTTGAAGAGATAGGGCTAGTCCCTTTGTGATGTTAATTCCCGTTTTTTCATGTGATATCTATTCCCGATTCCCGCTTTTTCGTGTGATGTCTATTCCTAATTTTTTTCATATGATATCTATTCCTAACAGATAATACTGAAAGCTTTGAGAAAACTTACAAATGCAACAAATATCCAAATAAAAATGCAAATAATAACTTTTAAATTCAATCATTTAAAATATTTCTAGGCTAGGACATGCTAACATAAAGTTAAGGGTTAAGAGTTTGGCAGTAATTTTAAGAATTTCCACCCAAAAATACGCTTTCATATGTCGGCGGGCGGAAAATTCCTTTTTTAACCTTGCGGACATAATCACCTGTACGGCGTTGATTCCTCTAGCGAGTCTCTCAAACACACCCTTGACGTCCCCTCCCTCCTGCATAGAGATGATCCTGAGCTGATCCTCCTCGTTCACCCACACCAGGAAGGTCTTCTCGGCGTTGTGGAAGATGCCCCGACCCTCAGGCCAGTCCCTCTCCATACCGGCGGCGATCAGATTCTTGTCGCCGGAGACGAACAGGAAATGATCGTCGACGAGCTTCTGACGAACATCTTCCTCCATACCGAGAAGGGGAAAGTAGTCGCCTGTTCAGAAAATATTTAAGTCTGAATTTATGAAAAAAAACGGGTTGTTTCCATTTCAAATTTGTTGAATATTAGCATATCTCGTCAATTAGTTGCTACAGATAATTTTGAAAATCAATAAACGCAATGAACGAAAAATGATGGTAATAGCTAAATTAAATCCCTTTCTTCTGAAAGCTTAATTTCTTCCCCCAGTTGATAAGGATAGTATCGCTAAAATGAGGAAAATAAATGATTTTGCGCCAATTTCCTTCAAAAATTTTCCCAAAAAGCAGCGATTTAATCTTAAAATACCTGCAAGATCTCCTTCGAGCTTGCCGAATGCGTTCTTCATGAGGTTCTCGACCTCCAGTCTCTGCTCCTTGGTGATTCCAGGAGACAGACCGAACCCTTCAATGCTGCGTCCAACACGGATCCTTAATTAAGATCAGAGAGGTCAAAACATGTGAAATATCGCTTATCTAAACCTCGTGATCTCGATATTCACTGAAACAACTTTAAGCCTTCAGGATATTTAGCTTTTAAATTTAATTATCAGACCTCAGAAAAACTTAACTGGTCGATATTCGTAAAAATTATTTTTCCAAACAAACTTTTTTAATATATTAGGCTGGGTAAAAAAACCAGAAAAGATAGAGAATTCGATTTTTTTAACCTTTTGATTTTTTTTCGTACAAATAATCATCAGATACGAATTTAGCATGAGACGAGACATCTAGCCCTCAAAGTAAGTCATTAGGACGGCCTTTTTTCTTACGTTCGGTGGAGGAGAAGAGCTTCCTTCCTACCTGGTGGATTTGACGGGAACATCATCATCAATGTTACCCTGAATCTTGGTAAAATCCATGTCACTGGTATGGGTGCTGTCGGCAGTAATTCCATGGTATTCCTATACATATAAATTCAAGTTATGGATCATTGAACCAAATTATAGTAAATTTAAATTGCCAGATGAAATTTTTCCAAATTAGCGTTTTTGAGAAATGAGGACATTTGACAATTTTTGTTTCCGTGGTATATTTCTAAGTGAAAAGGGAGAAAAAATTTTCAACAAGGTTTATTTTTCAGTACCTGAATGATAGGATCGAAGACCTCGGCAAAATCATTGTAGCTATCAGCATCTCCAGCATATATACCACAGTGCTGATCATCAAACTCAACAGCACAAGCGATAGCTTTACCCAGAGTAAATCCAGACGTAGCAGTTTTATGATCGCCAAGTTTGTTCCACAGCTGAACAAAATAGAAGATAATTCATTAGTCCAAATCCGAATTTAATGAATTTTAGCCGCGTACATGACCTTTAATTTTACGTTATTTTGTATTATTTTGGGTTAGGTTAGGTTAAGACAATTTCTGGGCCGAGCGCTGCGGCTAGGACAGGCTAGGGGGCCGAGCGCTGCGGCCACGGGTTAGGTTAGTTAAGACATTTTCTGGGCCGAGCGCTGTGGCTTCCAAAAAATTGGAAAATTTGAACCAAAAATGAAGGCAGCCCCCCCCCCCCCTACATCAAATGTGCCAACTCCACCATCCCCTTTATATAAAACTAAATATTTCTAAAACAAACTGAATATTTTTAATAAAATATTATTAAATAGTATTAAATAATGGCACAGTGAAAGGTGGTAAAGCAAATTAATAACTGTATTTAAAAAGTTTTAAATAAGTTATTTGAACAACAAACGATTTGAACGTTAAAATAAATACAATTAAATGACTAACTGGAATTATATCTATTTTAAAAACCCCTAAATTACTGTCATACCTCTTCAGTCACATGCTTAGCGACCAGAGAGTGCTTTGACTTGATTTCAGGGAATCCAGGCATCTTAATTCGTGAGGAGCAGCGGGTCTGAAAGGTGAGAAAACCCTGAGATTATCAAATAAAAAATTGGAAAATGTTTCAATAGAAAAAATGGAATTGTAGAATGATTTAAACTTGAACAAAGCACTCTCAAATTAATGGAACCTTAAGTTAAAATCTTTAAAAAATGACATAGCCAATCAGATCTACAACTGAACAGAATCCTATTCCTATTACGGCCACATCTACATTGTGCCTAAAGCAGACAGCTTCTGGGTGGGACTCGACTGGCAGTGGCATAAACCAGTTTGGCTCCTTTACTTCCTGCCCTAGGAGAATGCAACTTTAAATATTTGATAAAACAAATAATAAAAATATAAAACTAAAATAAACTGAAAAACATAAGCTTAAAGTTTTTTGAATTATTTAAAATTTCCAGGAAATAATAGAAACATTAAAGTTGCATTTTTCTAAATAAACGTAATGAAAATCGCGCAACCTCTGAAACCTTTCACAAATTAATAAGATTTCTACCCAAACTCAAACAAAACTAAAAATCTTTTAATAGTAATCCGAATCTCCCTCTCACATTTTTTCCTCCCCTTCCCTCCTTCTTTCCTTCCCTCCTTACTTCTTTCCTTCCCCCCTCCTTCTTTTTTTTACTTCTTCCTACTTTTCCCCTCCCTCCTTCTTCTTAACTCTTCTTCCTGCTTCCCCCCTCCCTCCTTCTTTCCTTCCTTCCCTCCTTCCTTCTTTCCTTCCCCCTCGCTCCGTTTTTCTTTCTCCCCTTCCTGCTTTTCCCCTCCCTCCTTCTTTCTTTCCCTCCTTCCTGCTTTCCCCCTCCCTCCTTCTTTCTATCTCTCCTTCCTTCTTTCCTTCCCCCTCTCTCCTTTTTTTTCACTCTATCCTGCTTTCCCCCTCCATCCAATTCTTTCTTTCCGTTCTTCCTTCTTTTCCCCTCCCCCCTTCTTTCTTTCTCTCCTTCCTGCTTTCCCCCTCCCTCCTTCTTTCGATCGCCCCCCCCCATTCTTTCCTTTTTTTCTTATTACCAGGCAGTATATTATATTAATTGATGGACCACCTTTGCCTATTCACTTTTCAATAGCTGTAATGCTCAAATGTGTAAAGATTCACACATTTTAATATCCAACTAATAACAGTTGGATGACATTTTAAATGTCCAATTAATAACAGCTGGATGACATTTTAATGTCCAATTGGCCTGCAGTGGATGACATTTTAAATTTTTAATGTCCAAATACTACCAGTTGGATGACATTCACATTTAAATGTCCAATTAATAACAGTTGGATGACATTTTAATGTCCAATTATCAGCAGTGGAGGACATTTTATTATCCAATTAATAACAGTTGGATGACATTCTAATGTCCAAATACTAACAGTTGGATGACATTCACATTTAAATGTCTAATAACCAGCAGTTGGATGAAATTTTAATGTCTAATTTCTAACAGTTGGATCAAATTTTAATATCTTATTACCAACAGTTGGACGAAATTTTAATGTCTAATTACCAACTGCATTTGGATGAAATTTTGATGTCTAATTAACAACAGTTGGATAAAATTTCAATGTCTAATTACTAACAGTTGGATGAAATTTTAATGTCTAATTACCAACAGATGGATAAAATTTAAATGTCTAATTACCAACAGTTGGATAAAATTTTAATGTCTAATTACCAACAGATGGATAAAATTTTAATGTCTTTAATTACCAACAGTTGGACGACATTCACATTATAATGTCCAGTTACCAACAGTTGGATGAAATTTTGATATTCAATTACCAACGATTAAATGACATTTTAAAAAAATGTACATATTACAGCCATGTTATCTTTTCATTGGTTGAAGTTTTATTTCAAAAATGAAATAAAATTGCCTCTAAAGAAGTAATAAATACTTAAGTTTATCTTTATTTTTTATTTAAAGCATAATTTAGGAGGTTGGGGTTAGAGGAAAAGTTTAACAGAATTAATTGAAATCTATCCCAAGTGAATAATTGTGTTTCTTTTTGTTGTTTTTACAGTCATTCGAAGTCCCCTGTGCAGTGGTTAACTTTAGGCATTTGATATGTATAGGTTTTCTCAATGGTTGTAATCTGAATTTTTCAGAAAGAAAGAAAAAATTAATATTTGGTGAAAATATGTTTCATTTTTAGCTTAACTTTTCAATTTTTACAGTTTGGTAACCAAAAGGTTAAAAAATTAAAAAGTATATGCTGTAAAAATTGTAAAATATGTGATCCTATTACTTAACAAATATTTTCATGTAACAGAAAAAGCGAGGCCCATAAAACTATGCAATTTAGGAAGACGATTGTTAGGTTTAAACTCAGAATATTAAGATAGATATTTTTCCTGTTTTGCACTAGGTTTCCCTTCCCTTAAGTGCTAGTGAGGAGCTTTTCTGAAATCTCAGGAGAGGGGATACGCCCCCCCCTGAATCCGTCGGGGGTGCGAAGGTCCTGCCGCCCCCCCCCTGTATCCGCCCCTGCTTATTTAGTTAATATTGTTCTAATTAATAATTTAATATATATGTAGTTTCATTCAACCCTATGAAGGCTGGCTGCTTTAAATTTATTAAGGGTCTAGTTGGGGGCGACCCCCCCCCCCTTAAAAGTCCTGAAATATGTTAAAAATAACATTTTTGTTGTTGTTGACAAATTAAAACATGTGACAACAAATTTTATTTTTACTTATCGCAATGACTTTTCCAAAATGTAACTTTTATATACAGTGATAACCAGAAAACAATGAAATATTAAGACGACATTATATCAATACTTAAGTGTATTCGATGGTGTTACAAAGGAAATATTTTTACCAGATACTTAAAAATTACTTTTTTTGTGAAATCTATCAGTTTTCACTGCACAATTGCTGTGTTTCATGGTTATTGAACTTTTTAAAATTAAAACTTGATTCTCAAAATCGTCTTACTATTATGAGTTTTCTGGTTATCACTGTATGTAGCTTAAACCTATTCCTGCTGGATGGTTGGGGGGGTCAATTTTCACCCCCCCTGTAGTTTTTTTTACATAACTCAAAAAGTATCGAAATTGTTGTTGAAATTTTCTGACTTTTCCTAAATACCTAAAGCCCTCCATACACTTAGGAGTTATCACGATTCTAAACACTTTCAAAATTTAAAGATATTGTTGTATTCCTTAAAATATGTTGAATTTCACTTAATAGTATGAATCCGTAATGCACTAATAGGGAACCCTAAATTATTTAGTTCGTAAACGAATTTTTCCACAGAACAACGGGGGGCTTCAATATCTTAATATCATCGGGAGGGTTTAAAATTAAATTGTTTAAAAAAATGTATTTTAATATTTCATTCATATTTTTTTAGACATTCTTCTGAGTCTTCCACTTTCCCCTCTTGGAGTAATTCTGGGCTCCCACATTCTTCTGAGCCTTCCACTTTTCCCTCTTGGAGTAGTTCTGTTCTACCTCAGAGGAGTTCTGTACTGCCTCAGATGAGTTCTGTTCTCCTACAGAGCAGTTCTGATATACCTATCTTTTCCTCCTGAGCCAGGTATGACTAGAAATTCATTAAAACGTTTGTTAAATTGTAAAAGAATTTTTATCCCGTATTTTTACTCACAATTTCCCTATAAACATGGCAACGTGCATAAATATATCTTAGTATTTTTTGTTCTATATTTTTTTTGACAATTAAAATTTGTGCTGAATTTTGTTAATTTTAGATATCGGAATTTTTTTGTTTCAGCCAATAACAAGAGAAAAGTTGAAGAACAGACAACAGAAGAATTTTACACCTCTAGCTTTGAAGAAATTCCAGGAAATGGATCAATTGCTGTCGCAATTATCCAGCAATACAAAAAAAGAAGAATTAAGATGTCTAACTACAGAAATGAAAAGTACAGCTATGAGTTCATGAAATTTTCTCTGACTCTTCAAGGATATTCAAGAAAAGCTTACAACTATGTCAGAGAAAGTTTTGATGGTGCTAATCCTTCAGAGTCTACATTGTCCAATCTACTCAAAAACATTGCTCTCCGGGATTCTCAAGCTATAAACCAATTCTGGAATCAGGCACAAAAATACTGAGCTTATTCTGTTTAAAAAACGAATAACTTTCAAATTATCAGTTTTAAATAGCTAATGAAATAAATAATTGAACAAATTTTTACTAATTTTTTTGCTATTAAAAGTTTGGTAATTTCTTGTTGTGCCCCCCCCCCCCCTCCTTGATACTGCATTTTTAGAAAGAAAGGACCATGAAGGTTTAAAGGAACTACGAGAGAAAAGAGTTGAAAGTTTTTATAATCAAGGTTTAAAATTTATAAGGACAGGCTTGTTTGGCCAAGTACTGTGGCCACCTTAATGTGCACATTTTTTGCATGTTATGGTCGGTAATTACTTATATTTTGAGGTTACAAAGATAACAAGCATTTACTTATGTGTTTGGCCAAGTACTGTGGTCATCTAAATGTGAAAAAATACATTTCTGTATTTTATTGTAGGTAATTATTTGAGGTTACACAGTTTGGCCTTGCTGGGGCCCAATTATTTTCATTTTGTTTTGGGTTTCCGTTTCGCATTTTTGTAAGGAAGACAACTATTTTGAAACAGTTTTGAAAATACATGTTTGATTAATTGAAGTAAAGATAAAAAGATAACAAGAGAAAGTTTGGAAAGTGAATCTTCAAAATCCCCCTCAAGATTACTGAATATCTGGACATTTATGTATTGTACTGCCCTCCACAGTCCAACACTTCCCAAACCAAATGCTGCCACCTGTTATTCTATAGTATATATATTCTGAGGGTTTAAAAAGCCTAATAAACTTATAAAAATCCGGTGTCATGCCTGGAGAGAACTCATGCCTGCAGCAAACTCTGGTTATGCTACGCAGCAAAGCACAAGTTTCTGGAAATTGTAAAGTGTACACCGACCCCTTTTATTCAATAAATTGATTTGCAAGCTACTTTTAAAACTATTTTCTTTATATACCATCAATTTACATTAGATGGCTAAAATGTCGTCCTTCTTATCCACAGTTTTTGGATCTACAGGGTGTCCTTCAAAACATGACAGTTGGTTAATGGTTATAATGTCTTCTTCCATAATTTATACAGTTCTTTGATGCCAACCAGAATAATGAAAAACATCACATGGCTGTCATATTATATAGTAAAATTGATTTAAAAGTAAAATATTGTTGAGTTAAAATTTTTTTATCAAAATAAACTGCAAAAAGTCTTTAACATCTTCTATAGTATATGGGAGAAGACATGCAATACTATTTACCAACTGTCTGGTTTCGTGGGACACC